TTTTATACTATTTTTACAATAATGCAGTAGTCTGCATAACAGTAAATTTTGTATTTTTTGTATGAATAAAAAATCAAAATAGAAAGCAATAGTAATACAAGAGGGGCCTAGAGACGTGACTAACGAACAGAGGATATGATATTTTAGTGCCAAGAATGTCTAGTGTTTATTCTGGACCCTATTTTGAAATTGGCATTTTTTAATTTGCGTGAAATTGGCCAAATTGCCAATTCTGACCACTTTTTTGGTAGTTAAATCAGTAAATGGGCCAGTTTCTTGTACTCAATTGATTGAAAAATGGAGTTCTAAAGAAATAGCTATCCCTATCCTGGGTTACTTCTCTTCTTTGTCTTTTCCTGGCACTAGGACCAGCTTGAGAGTCACTGTACCACTGTCGCACAAAAAATCTGTCCAGAGAGGTCTGTTTCTAGCATCTCTAAGATTTGCTTAAAATGGGACAAGGCATTGTCATTGAACATGTTGCAGACACGGCTTGCAACAGCTTTGTTAGGGTGATGTTTCTCCACAAAACTTTGCAACTCACTCCACCTTGCACACATGTCCTTAATCACTGAAGAAGGCACAGTTTCCCCTCTCTCTTCCTACTCCTCTGATATACCTTTGAAGAGTTTTGAGAGTATCTACTCTGAGCCCAGCCATGGGCCAGGCTCATCTGGTGCTTGCCTGGTCAATCAGGCTGTTGCTGCTGGAGGCCTGCTGCCCCATATATCCATCACAGCCTGGTTGATCTGGCACCTGGTGAAGATACTTGTCCAGTTTCCTCTTGAAGGCTTCTACAACTTGTTCCAGCCATGTTTCTGATATCTTCTGGTAGATTTTGAATAGTCTGGGATCTCGAATGTTGATACAGTGTTCCCTTCTTGTCCCCACCGAACCCCTGCTCCTCACTGGGTTTATTTTATACTTCCTCCCATATCTCTCGCTCCAGTATGTTATGGCATTGTGCAGATTGGGACCAGGCCCTCGAGTATTTTCCAGGTATATATTATCATTCATATCTCTCTCCTCCACTCCAATGAATACATGTTCAAGACTTGAAAGCGTTCCCAGTAGTTTTAGGTGCTTTACAGGTTCAATGTGAGCCGTAAACAATCTCTGCATTTGTTCCAACTCAGATATTTATCCTGCTCTGAAAGGGGGTTTCAGCACTGAGCAATATTCTAAGTGAGGGAGCACTAGCGATTTGAAGTATGTCACCATCGGAATTATTTTCCTTGTTTTTTAAGTTCTCAATACCCACCCTGTCTCCTGGCTGTCATGATCTTTGTCTTGTTAGGGTCTTTAAAGAAAGGTCCGCTGACATAATTATTCCTAGGTCTTTTACGTTTTCCTTATGTTCTATTTGGTGCCCCCTTGAGTTTTGTATATGTGTTCCTTTTGAATTCTTCATTCTTTCCATACCTAAGCAGCTGGAACTTATCACAATGAACGTCATGTTCTCCACTGCCTACGGGGAAAAACTGTTTATGTCCTCCTCTGAAGGAATTTCCTCAGCTGCAATCTGTTGCTGTTCCGTCAAAGGGTGGTTGCAGCTCTTCAATGATTAGCTCTTCCCTGTGGTAAACCACTAACTCTTCCACATCCTGGCCACTCACATCCAACCCCATGGACTTCCCAAAGACAAGAAATTCCACAACAGGCATAGGGCCGTCAGGGTCAGCCTCAAACCCTTCAAAATCCTAGATTATTACGAATGTTTCCGCTGAACTCGCGGGGTATGCTCACTCAATGATAAACAAAGGCAGACCGAGTCACTCGGCGCTAGAGGGGCCCTGAGTGACGTGGGCGGGCAGGCAGACACGTTCGGTACAGACCACTGTCACTCTACGAAAACCGAGGGGGATGCATGAAAACGGGGACAAAATTTCAATGGAAAAAGTCAAAAACCGAATCCAAACGAAACTGAGGCATACGAAACCCGAGGTTCCACTGTAAAGTGTAATATAAGATGCCTCTAAACATAACTAATGAACAGAAGAATATTATTTTAGTGCCAGGAATCCCTGCATTGTTTAATTCTGGACCCATTTTGAAACTGGCATATTTTGAAATTTCTGTGAAATTGGCCACTTTACCAATTTCTAATCACTTTATTGGGTAGCTGAAATAGTCGAGTAGGTGATTTTTTGTGATCAATCGATAAAATGGGGAAAAAATACTAGCAAAAAAAGCTAAGAAATTTTGGTCTACCGAAACATTTTAATTGGCCTAAAATGGGACTCAAAGTGGGCAAAATTGCAGTTGCGTAAATATTGCCGACACGCAAAATTTGCGGGGGAAAAGTAATTTTTTTCAAATTTTTCCACAAAAATTGTATTTTTTTGTTTTATTACCCCCAGAAAAAGATTCTCTAACCCTTTCGTATGTACTACAAAGCAAAAACAAAAAAAATGAAAATTATTGTCCCTGTGACACTTTTCAGATTGGGGGTGTGGATCCTCAAAGGGTTAAATCACTTGTTCTCTCTAGGGTGTAATACTGCTGTAACACTAATGGCCCTTTTCCACGCAAAATGCAGATCTGGATAATATACGGAGAACTTTCACTGCACGTTTTAAATACAGTCAAGAACCTCAATTACGGACTGTATGGTCCCTTGGCCTGTACTCCTTGAAACACAGGTGAGGGAAAATACATCATAATTTACACCTGTAAAATTTTTAAGTTGGACTAGCTGCAAATCTCCACACAGAAACCACCTCTAAAAAAAGCAAAAGACTTGGCAGGCGTGCAACATCCCCCCCAAAGAAAAGCAAGGGTGCCTGAGTACACTAGGGGATAACACAATAAATGTCAGGGGCCCAAACCATTCAACTGCTTCACAGTATACATAAAGGGATTATCTATAGACCCCTTGCTGTTTTCAAGAGGAACTGGACAGATGTCTGGTTGATCAGGCCCCGATTCACCATGAGGCCTGATCATGAACCCGGGGCTACAGGGGCACTGACTCCAGAACCCAAACCCTTTAGGTAGGGAGGGATATGGTAACACGTAAGACCGATTAAAGCAAAATAAACCCCTAGGGCCCTGATAACTATATTCAAGGTTCCTTAGAGAGAGCAAGCTGGAACTTTGTGAACCATTAAAATAACCTTTCTAAAAAATTCTTGAAATAGGTGTAATCTGAGAGTGGGAAAATGGGTAGTGTAACTCCTACTTCTAAAGCAGGGGAAAAAATCATTACTATCAAATTACAGCCCCATATGCCCCATTTCAATGTAGGCAAATTAGTCCCAATTACAGTTCATATTATAAGAAGCCACCTTTGATAAGTATAATTTCATTCGTGAAACTCAACATGGGTTCACGAGAGGTGTTCCTGCCCAAATAACGCACTGCCTTTCTTCAATAAATAAAACCCTTTTTGTGGTGGTTATGATAAAGAAAATATTGTTGATTTGGATTTCAGAAAGGCTGACCAACAGAAAGCAGGGAGTTTGCATTAATGGGGTCAAGTCTGAATAGTGACAGGTCACAAGGATCAGTTTTAGGCCCACTGCTGTTCAAAAATTTACTAATATTAATGATTTTGATGAAGGGATTACAAGTGACATGAGTAAATTTGTTGATACTAAAACAGGCTGATTCTGAGGATACCAATGAGCTTCACAAGGATTTGGGTAAATTAATGTTATCTGGAGAGTTTATCTGGAGAGAGTTCCGGGGGTCAACGCCCCCGCGGCCCGGTCTGTGACCAGGCCTCCTTAGGTCAGTGTCCCAGGATGCGACCCACACCAGTCGACTAACACCCAGGTACCCATTTTACTGATGGGGAACATAGACAACAGGTGGAAAGAAACACGTCCAATGTTTCTACTCTGGCTGGGAATCGAACCCAGGCCCTCACCGTGTGAAGCGAGAGCGTTAACCACCAGGCCACCAGAGCCTGAAAAGTGGCAGATGTAGTTCAATGTAAACAAGTGTAAAGCCATAACCCTTGGGAATGAAAATAAACCTACTTATAAGCTAGGTGATATAGAGCTTGATCATAAAGAATGTGAAAAAGAATTATGAATCATGGTATGCAGAAATTTGAAGCAAAGATAACGGTGCCTAAGTGTGTGAAATAAGATGAGCAATAGGAGTCCAAAATTTCTTTTACAGCTTACACATCATTAATAAGGGCCTCATTTAGATTATGCAGCTCGTTTTGGTCGCCATCCTACAGAATGGATATAAATGCAATGGAGAATATACAGAGAAGGACGACAAAATTAATCCACTGTATAAGGAATCTCTCAAATGAGGATTGATTAAAAACCTTAAACCCTTTAAATTTCTCTCTCGACACAGAACGAGAGGAAATGTCATTAAAGCATACCTTAAACCTTGATAAATTAGACATGTGCAACACTTGGGTATCTTTGCTGTGGAAACATTTCACCACAAAGTAGCTTCATCAGTTCATACAAAGGAGAATGGGAGAATGATGTATAGGAGTTCGAGGTAATCACTCCATCAATCTTGAAAAGAATACTGCACATGTGCGAAGAAATGGCTTATATACTGTAGACAGGTGAGGTGAAGCAGTCGTAGGTGGTATCACATTGTTCATCATACTCAAAATTAAGCCCTTAAAGAAACTTTGATAATCTTAAAATACTTGAAAGGAACTTCATAAGAACATAAGAAAGAAGGAACACTGCAACAGGCCTACTGACCCATGCGGAGCAGGTCTATGTCCCCCGTAGGTCAACCTTAAAATGTCAATTCTGTTTATCAGCACCATAAGAACTTTGGTTCAAGATGAAGCACAAAATTTACTTGATGAAAGATAATCTTTGTATCAGTGAATGATTTAACTAAAGAAAGAACGGAAGTGAAGGTAAGCCGAGATAAGACTGGGTGGGTCATCACAATACACTGCCTCACTCTCACACTCATTGAGAACTTGAGCTGTGCCAAGTGTTCAGGATTAAATAAGACTAATATCAAGAGTTCTTGAACTAGGAGGGGAAGAAATATTCCGGTCTTACCTTTTCACAAAGTGTTTTCACTTGATTTTCGGCCAACTGTTTACACTCCATCAGCTGATCTATCCACTGATCTAACTCTTTCATTTGTGTTTTGTCCTCCATGTTTTATATTTTAAGGGTTCCAAGAGACTGTGTAAGCAACCACCACACTAATATGGAGTTAAACTTAGGCGTTTTTTCTACACCACCCAAACCCAACTACTACCGTCTCTCTGCCTCACAAAAATGGCCGCTCACTACTACCAAACATGACGTCATCGTACCCTTACCAACAAACCCATAATTAAACACTTAAAAAAAAACTTTCCAACATTTATTTCTCATATCCGTAAATTTAAATGAATATTTTATGTGGATTATGTAATAAAATACTTACTCTTGGTGCCCTAGAAACTGAAAAATAAGTATTACAGAAGAGTAGTCATCGTTCGCGTCGCTGGCTGTACTGCGGTGTGAGGTAGTGGGCACTCATTTTTCAATTTCCGAATTATCATAATAAACTTTATAATTTACTTAAAATTTTTTTATTTTTTATTTATGGCATAAAATAATTCACTTATATATAATTTTTTAAAATTTTCTTCTGCAGAAGGGTTAAAACATTCTACACACATTTAAAAATTTCAACATATAAAAAAAAGGGAGAATGAAAACATTAAATTATAAAATTGATAAAAAAAGAAAAAGCAACTACAATATTAATACACCTTCCTACCCGAGGAAGTGTAATTAAAACATAATTAATATAGCAATAACATGAGGTTGGGTTTATACATCTTTGAGGTAAGACATTTCAACAAGAGACACACGATGACTGTCGTTATGAAACTTTGATTTATTTTTGAAGATAAAATCACATTTGCAGCAACGAAAGATAACTTATCAGATAACATGACAATATACAGAATGACTCACACAATATGTAGGTTAGCACAGGCACATATTACGCTTAACATGTACTAGTAATATATATTTTCTAGGCAGTATGGAAACTATCAAATATATAATTGATTTTATGAAAGATTTTTTTCTCATACATAAAACTCGCACTCTTGGCTTGATATTTTCGTGGTGGGAAAATCAGGTATGATAACTGGCTCAGTAAAGCTTTGTTTGAAATGCACAGGTGTAGTACATGGGAAGATATCCTAAAAACACAGATTCCGAACCTTTGCCTAGAAAGAATTAACTGTGGCACATGATGTACGCTCACTCAGCGGACATCAACCAAATCTTTCAATGGGCTGCAGAAAACAATTTGAAGTTCAAAGATGAGAAATTTCAATTACTCCGATATGGTAAACATGAGGAAATTAAAACTTCATCAGAGTATAAAACAAATTACGGCCACAAAATAGAGCGCAAAACCAACGTCAAAGACCTGGGAGTGATCATGTCGGAGGATCTCACCTTCAAGGACCATAACATTGTATCAATCGCATCTGCTAGAAAAATGACAGGATGGATAATGAGAACCTTCAAAACTAGGGATGCCAAGCCCATGATGACACTCTTCAGGTCGCTTGTTCTATCTAGGCTGGAATATTGCTGCACACTAACAGCACCTTTCAAGGCAGGTGAAATTGCTGACTTAGAAAATGTAGAGAGAACCTTCACGGCGCGCATAACGGAGATAAAACACCTCAATTACTGGGATTAGATTTTTAGATTTTGCCACCGAAATGGCTAGTTTATTGTGCACCCCATATCCATCCTGTGGACGGTAGCGCGAGAGCATATGGATACACAAAAGGCCTAGGAACTAGGCCCCAAAGGGTTAACAGGAATACATATGGATTTATATCTACATATCTATAGTTCACTTATCTGTTACAAGCAAATTTAGGAAATTTGCTTAGTATATCTGGTATCTTATTTTCATTAATAAGATATCTTGACATGTCACATAGGTTATTATACAGACTGTCTCTGTATTCCTCAATAAGTGGACAATTAAGCACATAGTGTTCAAGAGAGTGACCATATGCCTGATCACATAATTTACATTTAGTTTGATCATCATCTGTGTGTCTCCCAAACTGTCAGAAGTACTTGTAACCAAGCCTAAGCCTGGCAGATGCGATTGATACAATGTTATGGTCCTTGAAGGTGAGATCCTCCGACATACCAAAGTTATATTCTACATTCTCCTTCTGGGTACTCTTCTTGGCTAACATATCAACTTTATCATGAAGGAGTAATCCAATGTGTGATGGGATCCATAGCAATTGTACATTAATTCCTTTGTCCCTAATTTTTGAGTATCTATACCTGGCTTCCCCAATGAGCATGTTGTTGGAGTCATTATATGAACCAAGAGCCTTCAATGATGACATAGAATCAGTAATGATAGGGTCCAGCTCAGTGTCATAGGTTAGCTTTAGCGCCATTAGGATTGCAAACAATTCAGTTTGCAGTGTAGACGCCCAGTTGTTAATTCTTATGCCTAACTCAACAAATTTATTATCGTTCTTAACTAGGGGAGGTGGCAAAAAAGAGGCAGATGCAGCCCTGCCAGAAGACTCCTGTTTAGATCCTCAGTGTATATAACTTGTGATAACTTGTTACTAACCAGCTAGGGGAGAAAATTTCTTCTTGAGCAGTTCTCTAACAAGAGATTTAAGGAAGGGATTACTAGCAATGAGCTTCTTGGGGGACTTGTAGGTATGTGATATTAAATGAACACATCTTCCATGGAGGGGTGAAATGCTCTTGTTGCCTACAGTGATACAGTTCATGCAGGTTATAAAACTTAATGCAATTGCACGTTTTCACAATCCATTTAGATCTAACCTGGAGTTTACCTGGAGAGAGTTTCGGGGGTCAACGCCCCCGGGGCCCGGATCTGTGTGTATTTACCTCTAGACACTTGGTAAGATTCACTGTGACAGTGTCTGGTTCGTTTCTCAACATTCTAATACCGAGTACAGTGTTAATTTCAACAATCCTATCACTGATACTAGAAATACCAAGCTCCTTCCTCATGTTAAGATCTTTTGTAGATCTGGGACAGCCAAGAATAATCCTGAGAGCTTCATTTTGCATTAACTCCAAGGGTCGGAGAGAACTTTCTCTAGCTAATATCAACATGGGAGCAGCATAATCAATTAAGGACCTAACATAGGCTATGTACATCATTCTCACGATTCTCACATTAGCACCATAGTTGGGATTGTAGCCAGCAACAGCTTTGAGAGCATTTCGTCTAGCTTTACATTTCTTGTTTAGTTGTGGTATAGTGGATTTGTTAAAGGGTACATCTACACCAAGATATCTGTAAGTTTTAACGTAGCTAATGATTTCACCCTGCAAATAGATGGGTGGGGGATGTCGTTTGCTTGTTAATATCTTAGTTTAGAGGAAGATTTTAATGAGGCCTAGTCGATTACAAATTGCTTGAACTTCATTAGAATGGTATTCATCTTCTTATCCCCTGTTGTATGGATCATGATATCATCAGCATAGCTTATAGCTATATGTTTAGGTGAGGCAGGTAGAGCATTTAGGAGAGCATTAATCAGAATATTAAATAGCATGGGACTAAGAACTCCGCCCAGCTTTGTACCTAAAGACATTTCTTTAGAATCACTTCTGAAGCCTTGGTAAAGGACAGAGGATACTCTATTTGACAGGTATCCTATTATCCAGCAGAGTAAGCTACCACCAAAATATTCATTTTGGCTAGTTCATGTAGTAAAAACGGTTCTGTTCGCAATATCAAATGCAGATTTTAGATCAAGAAAAGTGGGTAAAACTAGTAGAGGTGTGTGCAGTGAAAAAAGGGGTGGAAATACAGTTCTGCACCTTTACCTTTAATGAACCCATAGAGGTAGGGGAAAGTTGATGTCTGATTCGTAGTACAGTCTGTTAAGCATAAATTTTTTCCAAAAGTTTTACAAAGACAACTAGTTAAGGAGATGGGCCAAAATGTATCAGGCTGTTGGGGCTTAGGGATAGGCACAATGAGACTATTGGTCCAGGAAGTAGGAAGAACGCCCTCACTGTAACTGAGATTATACAGTGCCAACAAAGGGTTATCAGGCACGTGCCTTAGAGTTCTGAGAATATCATAGTTATACCATCCTCTCCGGAGCAGTTGATCGACCTTTGGTTAATGATTAAATCTAATTCATACCCCGGAAAAGAGGCAATCACTCTCATCAATATTTTGGCTCATAAATTAATCAGTTTCAACATTTCTTCAGAAGTACTCTCTAAATTTTTTCTAATATGAGATGGAAGGCTTTCATGCCTGGATGTTTTGAACCAGTCATTTATGAGGTCATTTGCTTTTTCAAGAGGAAAGGGATGAGCAACATTGCCAGTCTTTTTCCTGGTTATTTTATTTATACCTTTCCAAGCCAAACTCAAAGGGGTGGACCTATTTAATCCACTAACAAACTGTTCCCATTCCTGTTGCCTAAGTTCTTCCTTTCTATTCCTTGCATTTGTTAGTGCAGCTTGGAACGTTCTGAGCAGGTCTGGGGTTCTGCATTCACGGTATGCTTTACCAATCCTCCTAGCTGCATGTGTTAGATTGCGTAGCTGTGGATCATTATAGTATTTACATTGGTTTTTATTGTTATTTATAGTGGAGGGTCTTTGTTTCCTATTCCTGCCCACTTGATCTGTGAGAACACTCTCAATAGTGGTAATTAAATCATCATTAAATTTTTGTGTGCCAATGGACTCGTAATTCTTATACCATGCCGGGGACTACCTAGATGGTAATTTCCCTAATTCCTTCTATCTTGCACCAACTGAGCCCACGGAAGTCATTGGGATCATAAAGTCACTTAAAAATAACTCGGGGAATCTGTCTCATGTCCCACCATTACTGTACAAGCGAGCGGCCCATGTCCTTTCGCAGGCTATTTCATTACTTTTTAACAAGTCAATAGAGACTAGCACCTTCCCGAAACTACTCAAGATGGCAAGGGTTACACCAATACATAAAGGTGGTGACCCTACAGACTTAAACAACTATAGGCCAATATCTAACTTACCATTGCTATCCAAAATCTTTGAGAAACTCGTGTTAAGAGACTGTATTTCATTTATAACGGCTCAAAACATACTACCCCTGCCATTTGGATTCAGGAAAAATTAAAAGCACTAATGATGCAATCATAA